AGTCAAATCATTCAAGACGAGAACTTAAATGATAAATACCAAGAAAGATCAGGATGTCAAAAAAGATTAAGATCAAGAGCATGAGATACGACATCAAATAAAGATCAAGATGAAAAGTTCAAGAGCCAAACATGAAAGAAACTTCGAAGCAAGATCAAAAACTATGCCTTATAGATCATATGCAAAGATATAACACTTTGATCTTTAGTAATGAATGACAATAGCTCAAAAATCATTTTGTGCATGAAAAGTTATTTTCACTATCACTTGCATAAAATATTTTAATCAAAAGTAAGATTGAATTTTCAATAGCTCAAAAATCATTTTGTGCATGAAAAATTATTTTCACTATCAATTGCATAAAATATTTTAATCAAAAGTAAGATTGATTTTTCAAAGTCATACTTGAACTTATATCACAATTCGGGAAAAAAAAAATTAACGGTCAACCGGACTTCTGGTTCGCCAACGGTCAGAATTTTTAACCGTTCTCACTTCTGACGCGCAACGGCTAATTTGGTCATTCGATTCACAAGCAGACGTCTAGGTGGGTCGTTTGGTTGGGCAGAACTTTTTCGTTTTGATTGTTATGAGTACCACTTCGCTTTCATTCATCACAACAACCACGAAGAGAGCTTCATTGTGAAATATATTTGTGAAAATCTTCTTTGAACTTACATTTCTATTTTCATTTCATTTATTTCTTCACAGCAAAAACTATGATTGTTGATTCAAACTTTTTGAATCAATTTATCTCATCAAAATTTTTCATCTCTCTTTGTTCTTAATTTATTCATATCAATCCTAAAAGAGAGATATATTTTTGAAGAAAGTTTTTGCACTTATATTGCATAATCCTTTCTACTTTTTCATATTAAAAACTTTGATTGATTGAATCAAAATTTGTGCAATCATCATATTCATCAAAGTTTTTTATTATTCTTATTACTTAACTTATTACAATAATTCATTTAAAGAGAGATATTTGTTGAGAAAAATTTTTGAACTTTGCATTTATTTCTTCATAATCTTCTCATTCAAAAATTTTGATTGATTAAATCTAACTTTTAATTATCATATTTATCAAAGTTTTTCATATAACACTTGAGCTATCATTTATTACTATTCATTGAAATGTTAGCCTCTCTTAATACTTAATTTATTTTGTATTATTAATGAAGAGAGGATTTCATTGTAAAATCACTTTGATAAAGTGTGGACATATTGAGGTCCCCTAAAGCTCAATAGGTGGGTTATATTAAAATCCCGTAAACCTCAACAATGTGGGTCATGTTGGGCTTCTACAAAGTTCAACGTTGTAAAATGATCGACGCTCCTTGTTTGCAAGTCACTGAAAGCACTGTAGAAGATTGAATTGCACCATAAGTCAATCAATGTGAGTTCTAACTTATTTTCACTATATGAATTATTTATTTGCAGATATTTTGACAGAATGTCGACTTATCTGGATATAAAAGTAGAAGAATAAGTAATGCAAAAAATGAATAAATAATAATAATAATAATAATAATAATAATAATAATAATAATAATTTGGTTGAGATAAAAGTGCGACATTTTTCCTTAAAATGATAATACTTCGCATTTGTGCTAATCGTTCTCCAGCACTCATCTCCCATAATACATTATTAAAACTATAAATTTTACTCAAACTTTTCCTAATATACTCCTACATTGAATATTAATAGATCATATTTGTTGATAAAAGACACATTTAATAGAATTATATTTTAAAAAAAATTAACATTCTCAATAAGGAAAATGAACTATAATTTATCAATTTGAGATGAACGAAAAAGGAAAGTGAATCTATTTTTATGGTACGAAGGAAAATAATATAAAAACAGGTAGGTATGGTGTGGGATCGATGAGATAGGGTAAATAACTTGATTTTTTATAAATAATTATTAGTACTTTGTTTTTAAAATTAAAATTTAACAGGTAAGGTTTGAAGTAATTTTCCATATTGAAATGGAGCATTTCTAAACCATTTTCCATGATGATATATGAAAGGAACAATGTTATATCATCAATAAATCCATAATTTCATATCCTATGAGTAAGATGTGAAATTGCAATTTCAAGAGAAATTTGTGAATAATTTACACTCATCAATATATGAATAATACTATTTAGCACCAGTAACATTAGATCACTAATTTTAAGTAGCTACAATCAATAGGTTCAATTAAATTAGAATTGCATATAAGTGAACCTATTTATTTAGCCCCTGTTTCACACCCTTTATTTTAAAACTTTTTTTTACACTCATTTTCAACCACTTATTTATACAATAAAATATTCTATACGTAAACCTAATTTTTTCTACTTTTAACCACACATTTTTTCAAAATTTCTCAATTAAAACATTGAAAATTCCAAATAATGACCATCAAATACGAGCTCAATGTCATGTATCATTTGAACTGATGTTTCACACAAATTGGGATGAATAGCATCAATAGCAGAAAACTATTGAAGTTGGATCTATTCAGAAGAGAGAAGAGCGGTACCGAACTGTAGTTCGGTGCTGCCCAAGCCCATTTCCAATAAAATACCCATGAAAATGATGAAAATGTTTTAATTATATTTCATAGTTCACTAACAAGTAACTAGTCCAACCCAGTTTCTAAAATCAGGTTTTTATTTTAATACTTAGGCACAATGATTTGTTTTAGCAGCCATTACCCAACAACAGTCCACAAATATTTCTTTCATTCATGATTCTACCATTCCCGTCAATTGAAAATTTTGAAAACCAAAATTTCCACATCCTTTTGGATAACCCTAAATCTTTCTATTTTTTCACTAGCTACCATCCCACCGAGAGCCATCAATCGTTGACCGTCGACCACAAACAAAATACTAGCTCTGAAGTTTGAAGTTTGAAGTCTGAGTCTAAAGAGTTATGGCCAACAACTCCTTCGATTATTGGTTTGTAATCGTGGCATTTTTTTATACTTATATCAAAATACTTTTCTTGATTTTCTTTTTTTTTTTCATTTATTGTGTTTCTTAAACTTTGAAGGTTTAATGTGGATTTATAAATTATAATATATTTTGATGTTTTAATTTTTTACTATTTGTGTTTGATGATTTTTGGTATATATTATGTTTGTGATTTGTGTTAGTTACGAACTTATAGTCTTAATCAATAACTATCACTCGTGATTTTCTTTTCAAATTTTTTTATAGATATTGGATTAGTTTGTTTTTTAAAGCATCGCAACACGCTTCAATAATTCATCGCTGCAACGAACTACGTAAACAGGTATTTTGCTTGACCTTGAGCACCTTGAATTGCATTTTACGTTGAAATATGAGTTTATTTAGGATTGTTGAATTTGGTTTCGAATTGTTAACTAATTATAATATTGTTTAATTGTTTGATAAATAGTTGGATTGTTGCAAGTGGATTATTTTTGGATTGTTAGGATATTGATGTGTTTTGGTTTTTTATGCTTTTTAGATTTTAATATGAAAAAAAAATTGACATTTTGCCAAGAAAGGAAGAACATTGTTATCATTCTTCATAAAAAACAACAAATTTGAGGGTACTACGATTCCCATACTGCCCATTCCTCCAATTGCATCTCATGAAATTGAATTGTCTTCACCTTCTAATCTTGAGTTGGAACCATCTGATTATATTGAACAGGTACCAACAAAAAGAAAGCAAATATATGAATATCCATTTAATGGATTTGATCAAATTGGTCTTGCCTATTTAAAGGTCGGGCTTTATTAACCAAAATTTTTGAAGTATCAAAGCAAAAAATGTGAGAAGCAGAAATGTCGATTTCAGGAGCATTGGTACAATCAGTATTCTTGATTGGGGTATTCGTCTTCAACATAGGAAGAATATTATTTTTTCTACTTCCATTTTTTCAATGGTAGTGTTACACCTAATTTTTCATTATTGGTTACTGCTAAATTTAATAGTCGAAAGAGAGTTAGCCAAGGAAGTAAATATGCATTTTATTCATATTGGTACAACACCTGCATTGTATCATAATGGCTGTAAGAGAAAAGTTGAAAATCTAATGAAACCAACTCAACATATTGACAAGGTAATGCATGTTGTATCAAGTGAGGAAAAACAAAAAAATCGTTTGAATCAAAAGACCAAAATTTTAAGTGTTTGGTGGCTAGGGCTTCAAGGTTGTTCCTTTAGATGCAATGATGAATCTCTATCTTCACTGAATCGTGGGAATTTCTAGAAATGGTGGATGCATTTGAAAAAATGAATACATATTAGGACGAATTGTGTTAAGTAATGCTCCAAAAAAATGTTAAATTTACGTCTCTAGATAATCAAAAAGAGATTTTGAACATTATGGCCAATAGAGTACGATAGAGAATCCATGAGGAAGTTTGGAAAGAAAAGTTTAATATTCTTGTTGATGAAGTATGAGATGAATCTTCATGTGAACAAATGGCCAATATCTTGAGGTTTGAGAGCGGTAATGAAATTTTGACAGAACGTTTTTTTTTTTTTTTTTGCAATAAAAAATGTTAGTTACACTACATCATTGAATCTTAAGAACCGATTTTTCTGATGTTCTTGTTTGTTTTGGCCTTCAATTGCCAAATATGAGAGATCAAGTGTATAATGGTGCTAATAATATGCGTGATGCTTGGTATGAAATATAAGCATTATTTTTTAGAGATTATTCATATGCATATTATGTCCATTGTTTTACCTATCATTTACAACTTACATTAGTTTTAGCAGTTAAAGATGTCATGGTTATTAATTCATTCTTGTTCCATTTGGACGGTGTTATTAATATGATTACATCATCTTAATTGAAAAGTGCCCAAAGAAATAAATTGAACATTTGTTAAAAATTGGAGAACAAGAGTCTAGAAGTGGTGATAATCAGATTGTGAATTTGCAACGAGCTGAATGTACTCGTTGGTCTTCTCATTACCACTTTGTAAAGAGTTTAATTGATATGTATGCTGCAACTTGCTAGGTGCTTAAATATCTTAGTGATCATTCTCCAAATACAAGATCTCGATTCGAAATGGGTGGTGTATACAAAAACATAACATTCGAATGGGTAAAGTGGACTCCGCTGCCAAGCTACAAATGAGTGAAATACATACATAAGCAACCAACTTTGTAATCCTTGTTCCCATCCAATACAGGGGCAGGGTGTTCAAGTTCGAAATAAACAAGAGTAACTTATTCCATCAACTGCATGGGCTATCCGAAAAGCATCAAAAACCTGTTCTACCTTGATCTGACAAATGTGGATAGTAGTACGCAAACGCATGGCCTATAATACAAATTTAACTTCCGTAAGTGCATGAATAAAAAATCGAAATGAATTATAAATACACGATCAATGTTAACTTACCTTGCGAATTGTACAAGTCATTTGTTGACGACAAATTCATCATATTGGAAGATTGTAAGCATTGCACATATGACAATGACGTCAGCATGCCACGTTCTGGTAATGGAAAGGGCGTCGAAAGTGAAATTTGTGATAATGTGACTTGTGGAGACGGGGAATATTGGTTTTCTACAGAAATTGGCTGCCCTTCAGGTACACCCACACATGTACTACTATGCTTTCATGTCAGCCTCTTTCGCTTGATTGAAGTCAAATTTAACTATATGTACATCATAATAAATGAGACTTTGTGTATACAAATAATTTACAAATTTCTACAAAACTTTCAATAAACCTGTACATTCTTTGAAGAAGAGTCTAAAGGTCCTTTTCATCGAAGTTTTTTTGTGCTCCTTTTCTTCGGCACAGTGTCGGATCCAATATGTTCTAGTTCGTATTATTTTGGGAATTAGTATGTATAGTGGCTAACTCATTGTTTCAATGCGAAATAGTATTATTTCCACAAATTGACTTCGTCATCGCTAGCTCCTTGGATTGCAGTCCAATCCATTCTATTATAACACAGGTCTAAACTTTGCCATCTGCAGCAAGATTTGCCAGCGTAGCAAAAGCTTGGCACGTACTGTCATATCTCAATTATCTAGGCGAACTAACCAACCCGTCATAATTGACCGTGACCCTTGAATATGCTCTACTAACCTCTCTTCTCCATCGTCGCAAAATGCACTACTCGTGAAGTGATGTTATGTCATTATGAATCAACACGGTGAGGGCATGCCTGCATATTATTCCTCTAAACTCGAACAAGTGGCAGTTGGAACTAATTTCACAGTCCTCAGGTTGAAACGTAACTTCGAACGATTTCTTCTTTCGACGTTGTTCATGTATGACATCTTCCCATATATTGTATGTCATCCCAAGAAGTCCTTCTGAGGAAGATACGATATCGCAGTAAACTTTCCCTGTGAACTCAACTTGAACTTCTCAAAATTTTGAAATGGTGTATACTGACTGAAACTGCTTCTCCATATAATAAGTTGTCGCATACGGTACCATTTGTGAAAACAATTTAAAATCAACATGGAACTCTTTCTCAATCTTATTCCGTTATACCCGTTCATACTGTTCAACAAACTGTACCAAAGAAGTCTTTGAATGAAAGTATCTATCAAAAAAATGCATTCATGCTCTCACTTCTTTGCATCGTCGACATCCCTGCCCAGAAAGTAGTTTTCAAAAAGCAAGAGATCCAACGACCTCTATTATCGTAAAGGCCTAACAACCAAGTATTATCATGCAACCCATATGACTTGATCATCGTTATCCAACCTCCTTCAAATTCAATTATAGTTTGGGAATCATAAAACCAATGCACGAATAGTCGAAAGTATTGAACCCTTACCCATGTGGTAGCCGAGCTTCTCAGACAACTTCTTCAATATATGCCATAAGCACCATCTATGCCTCGTATTTGAAAATACGATCTGAATTGCATTTTGCATTGTCCTCTCATGATCAGTAATTATTCTATTTGGAACTTGACCGTGCATGCACTTAAGCCATTTTATTAAAAGCCACACAAAAGTGTCTGTGTCCTTGTTTGACACCAAACCACAACCAAGTGTGTCGATTGTCTGTGATGATTTACGCCCACAAAAGGGGCAAATGGATGTCGTACTTATTGGTCAGTTAGGTGGTATCAAATGTAACAACATCCCCAAACTCCTTAAATGCTTGCATAGGCCAATTTTCTGTCCAAAATACATTCCTAAGATGTGAGTCGTTATCTAAATCCATGCTAAAGTAAAAACCCGAGCACCTTGACTGCATTGTCGAAAAGTAGTTTTGTATTGTTGCGGCATCACCTACTCCAAGTTGTAGTCGCCTAACTTGCTCAATATAATTACGAGATTTTTTTCTATGCAAGTCATGTTCTCATAACCACAATGCCTCTACCACTGTCGAGTCGTAGGATTGGTGCAATGGAATGCCTGCTAGATCATTCACTTGAAGCTTCCTTTTGACATGCATACTCATTTTTCGATTACAATGATATAACATAGACATTATCGGACTTGTTCTATGATTGTGCTCTAGACAAACTATGTTAATTCTCCAAGAGCGATGAATATCTGAATATGTAGATATTCTAGTTTTACAATCCGTCTGAATTGTCAGTTGCGGCTTGAAAGAGCCATTTGTAGTACCACTTCTTTTGCCTTCCCGACTACATGTCAAAGTCGAATATTTCAACATTCCATTGTTATCCTTTTTAGATGTCCATTTCCTAATTGGAAAATCAACGACATAGGCATATGCCTTGTAGAAATCAAACATTTCATTTTCATTCTTGAACGTCATTCTGACCTTGGGCACAATATTACCATCTCCTTTTGCGATTTCATCTTCCAATTGGTTCATATTGTCTTCCACGTTCTCGTTGTCTGATTCCACCAAAATATACTTATCCACATCATCCATGATTTCTTCAGCTGTTAAAAATGTAATCATTCAAGTTCAGCAAAACATGAACACCATACAATACACACCGATACAAATCACTACCCCCAATTTGACGAAAAAAACAGAGAAATGTATGGTTTCATATATGGATGCATTGACATTTTGGATAATGCATTACCAATATCATACAAATTCCAAAAATTTGAAGAATGCAGTAAGTAAACCAAAGTGTTAATACCTTGTAATGGGTCAGGTGATTGGTTTACACGTAGCTGGAGCAAGAAGTTAGGTTGGTTGGACGAAGCTCGAAGCTACACCCAAAGAAGCTGGATCCTCGCGTTCAGAAGCTTGAGTGAGCTAGACTAAAGGAAGACAACCAGCTTCACATTTCGATGGAGTATAACTGAAAAATGGAAACAAAGCTCGGAGCTCCACTGAAAGAAGCTGGAAGTCGGACTGAAGAAGATGGACCTTCACGAGGTGTTTGGATTTGGATGACGACTTATAGCCTTTTACAAGTTGGAGCCGCTGAACCGATAAGACGAAGCTACAATTGAAGAAGATGAAGATGATGGCAAGAAGATTATGGCCACCGTTGACAATATCTCCCTAGTTTTCCCAGATTACAACTTCGCTGGACTCGAAGTTGAGGGTTCCACCATTTGGGGGAAGAATATGTTATGAATTTTGGGGCAATTTATTCACGTGGGCCCTCACTTCTTTATTCCTTTCGTGTCCCGCATTTTTTTAAAATTTTTTTTCCTTGCCAGATCACCCAAATTAAAAATGCTATCAAACACGTTGTCAAACTCTACTGTAAAACCAGCTTAATTGTTAATTCTGGGCCGTCCCCGAATCTATTTGTTAAGAGTAAGAACAACGGTAGCAAAGGCAAAGGAACAGAGTGTTGGCATCTTAACTCCAAAATTTCAAAATTTATTGATATCCATATTAAAAATTTTAAGATTTTTTTTTTTAATTTGATTTATAATTTAAAAAATGAAACAAATTAAGATATAAAAAAATTAAGAACAAGCCAAAACATCAAAAATCTCTAGTAAGACGAAATAAAATCGTTCAAAACTGCGAAATTAATCGGATCCAGGCGGATTTGAACCACCAACCTCTCATAAGCCCCCGAAGCCAATGAGCGCTCTTCCACTTAGAGCTTATGGATCCATCACAATATACCCTCAAATGATGTATTTACGTCAACAATTCTTCGTAATCCCAAAAGTACAGAAACAAGTTATTGTGATATTTCCTCTCACTTGATGACAATCGAAAGATAAGGCAAGGGCATCGGATATGGAGTTAAACACAATACGACGACCAGAGAGCTAACAAATGCTACTTGCAGGCAGTGAAATAAATACTCGTACTGCAATCTCCTTAAACTTGAAAACAAATTAATAAACTTTTAAAAACACCATTGAAATAGTATTTATAAACAATTTTATTTGTAAATTAAAAAAAATATAGCAAAGAATGAGAGGTACTTGGAAATTCTCACCACATGCCAATGTTGACAAACTCTTGTTTTGTGAGATTCAAAATCAAAATTTTAATAGATTTCAATAAAAATTGATAAAATATGCCATTAAAAAATTTCTGACTTCTGTAAAATGCATAATCAAAATTACAATAATTATACTTCAACAAAGTTGAATTACAAAATTGGCTTTACAAAGTGTGTTGGCAGAATGCAAACCACTGATTTGAAATGATTTAAAAATCTATTTTTGAAATGATTGGTGTAAATCCAACTTTGTCATCCAATTTTGTCAAACTCTTTTGTCATTGTAGCATAACTCTCAAAATTAATCAACTTACTGAATTTTAATTATTGCCAAATAGAGTGTGGTTCACTATTGGCTCCCCCAATCGAGTATCTAAAATATTCATACCAAACTATTTTCCTCAAAGAGGAGACGAGACGTGTAACTTTCACAATGGTAGAGGTTGGCTGTTAACCAATAGACCGTAAGTCCTAATCCTACTTCAAGAAATTTGATTCAATCTGAATTAACAAATTCAAAATAAAGAAGCTCACTTTGACCGTTAAGAGTGGGTAACCTACTCCGAGCCTTTTCCTACCATCGCAAAAGGGTACTGCCAAGCATGTGCAAGTCAAATCTTCTTCCACTCCACATAATAAAAAATAATGACCAGGCTCAACAACTGCTTGTGCCCTATTTTTCCCTAAAAATACATTTTGAAAAAGTAGATTGTTGAAAAAAAAGTACTTAAAAATGAAGAAATTTTTTTTAATTTATATATAATATTATTTTATTAAAAAATGTGATTGAAAAGAATAAAAGAAAAAATATATAATTTTAATAATGACGAGGATTAAGCAAGAACTAAATGACATCAGCACTTAAAAAGGTCATAAATTATCGGTCGAAAAAGTTAATTTACAACCATTTTTAACATAGGTGAATTACAACCACGGACGCAAAAAAACCGTTTAAACCCCATACCCACTGAAATCGGGCGGGATTTCGCTCCCAGTGACATGGCTCCCACGCTTTTAACATGACAAAAAGAATATAAAAAATAAAAAATCATCATTCCTTTCAGAAGTAAACATGGATCATTATTAACACATTGAAAAAATAATAATAGTAATAATTTTCTCTAACTAGAGACATGAAAAAATAAAAATAAAAATAAAAAATAAACAAAATGATAAACGAGACAACGAACCTACCCCACCACGCCAAACTGAATATAGGAGTGGGCCACGATAACAAAATACTCGAAGACAAGAATGGCTGCCCTACCCAACCAAACCAATCCCATTGCCATCCCTAAGATCATATTTCAAAAACGAACTGATAAATTAACAAATAAATTTTCTTAACTCAAAATCTTGCAAGAAAATGGCCAATATCGAGAGTTCAAAACTATATAAATGACAATCTTATCACTACAAAGACTGAAAATCGTAATTAATTTATACTTTACCAGTCAGAAATGGCAATTAATCATTGATCAAGATCTCAACTAGACAGACTATTCAAGCTTAAGATCAGGATAAATTACCATCAAATCAACCTGGAATTCAAAGCCGCAACTCAAAATAGAGTCTAGATCAAACCAGAAGCTGGAATGTAGAGGCATTTCTTGCATCCCACACAATAAAGTGCACTGACCTACTACTGAGAAATTACTCTGACGAGCAATCTTACAAAGTTCAGTGTAAATCAAACATGCAGCAAGCATAAAATACTGGCACAATAACAGCATAAACAAGTAAAAAAATGAATAAATAATAATAATAATAATAATAATAATAATAATAATAATAATAATAATAATAATAATAATAATAATAATAATTTGGTTGAGATAAAAATGCGACATTTTTCCTTAAAATGATAATACTTCGCATTTGTGCTAATCGTTCTCCAGCACTCATCTCCCATAATACATTATTAAAACTATAAATTTTACTCAAACTTTTCCTAATATACTCCTACATTGAATATTAATAGATCATATTTGTTGATAAAAGACACATTTAATAGAATTATATTTAAAAAAAAATTAACATTCTCAATAAGGAAAATGAACTATAATTTATCAATTTGAGATGAACGAAAAAGGAAAGTGAATCTATTTTTATGGTACGAAGGAAAATAATATAAAAACAGGTAGGTATGGTGTGGGATCGATGAGATAGGGTAAATAACTTGATTTTTTATAAATAATTATTAGTACTTTGTTTTTAAAATTAAAATTTAACAGGTAAGGTTTGAAGTAATTTTCCATATTGAAATGGAGCATTTCTAAACCATTTTCCGTGATGATATATGAAAGGAACAATGTTATATCATCAATAAATCCATAATTTCATATCCTATGAGTAAGATGTGAAATTGCAATTTCAAGAGAAATTTGTGAATAATTTACACTCATCAATATATGAATAATACTATTTAGTACCAGTAATATTAGATCACTAATTTTAAGTAGCTACAATTAATAGGTTCAATTAAATTAGAATTGCATATAAGTGAACCTATTTATTTAGCCCCTGTTTCACACCCTTTATTTTAAAACTTTTTTTTACACTCATTTTCAACCACTCGTTTATACAATAAAATATTCTATACGTAAACCTAATTTTTCCTACTTTTAACCACACATTTTTTCAAAATTTCTCAATTAAAACATTGAAAATTCCAAATAATGACCATCAAATACGAGCTCAATGTCATGTAGATGCCATTTGAACTGATGTTTCACACAAATTGGGATGAATAGCATCAATAGCAGAAAACTATTGAAGTTGGATCTATTCAGAAGAGAGGAAAGCGGTACCGAATTGTAGTTCGGTGCTGCCCAAGCCCATTTCCAATAAAATGCCCATGAAAATGATGAAAATGTTTTAATTATATTTCATAGTCCACTAACAAGTAACTAGTCCAACCCAGTTTCTAAAATGAGGTTTTTATTTTAATACTTAGGCACAATGATTTGTTTTAGCAGCCATTACCCAACAACAGTCCACAAATATTTCTTTCATTCATGATTCTAACATTCCCGTCAATTGAAAATTTTGAAAACCAAAATTTCCACATCCTGTTGGATAACCCTAAATCTTTCTATTTTTTCACTAGCTACCATCCCACCGAGAGCCATCAATCGTTGACCGTCAACCACAAACAAAATACTAGCTCTGAAGTTTGAAGTTTGAAGTCTGAGTCTAAAGAGTTATGGCCAACAACTCCTTCGATTATTGGTTTGTAATCGTGGCATTTTTTTATACTTATATCAAAATACTTTTCTTGATTTTCTTTTTTTTTTTCATTTATTGTATTTCTTAAACTTTGAAGGTTTAATGTGGATTTATAAATTATAACATATTTTGATGTTTTAATTTTTTACTATTTGTGTTTGATGATTTTTGGTATATATTATGTTTGTGATTTGTGTTAGTTACGAACTTATAGTCTTAATCAATAACTATCACTCGTGATTTTCTTTTCAAATTTTTTTTATAGATATTGGATTAGTTTGTTTTTTAAAGCATCGCAACACGCTTCAATAATTCATCACTGCAACGAACTACGTAAACAGGTATTTTGCTTGACCTTGAGCACCTTGAATTGCATTTTACGTTGAAATATGAGTTTATTTAGGATTGTTGAATTTGGTTTCGAATTGTTAACTAATTATAATATTGTTTAATTGTTTGATAAATAGTTGGATTGTTGCAAGTGGATTATTTTTGGATTGTTAGGATATTGATGTGTTTTGGTATTTTATGCTTTTTAGATTTTAATATGCAAAAAAAAATTGACATTTTGCCAAGAAAGGAAGAACATTATTATCATTCTTCATAAAAAACAACAAATTTGAGGGTACTACGATTCCCATACTGCCCATTCCTCCAATTGCATCTCATGAAATTGAATTGTCTTCACCTTCTAATCTTGAGTTGGAACCATCTAATTAAATTGAACAGGTACCAACAAAAAGAAAGCAAATATATGAATATCCATTTAATGGATTTGATCAAATTAGTCTTGCCTATTTAAAGGTCGGGCTTTATTAACCAAAATTTTTGAAGTATCAAAGCAAAAAATGTGAGAAGCAGAAATGTCGATTTCAGGAGCATTGGTACAATCAGTATTCTTGATTGGGGTATTCGTCTTCAACATAGGAAGAATATTATTTTTTCTACTTCCATTTTTTCAATGGTAGTGTTACACCTAATTTTTCATTATTGGTTACTGCTAAATTTAATAGTCGAAAGAGATTTAGCCAAGGAAGTAAATATGCATTTTATTCATATTGGTACAACATCTGCATTGTATCATAATGGTTGTAAGAGAAAAGTTGAAAATCTAATGAAACCAACTCAACATATTGACAAGGTAATGCATGTTGTATCAAGTGAGGAAAAACAAAAAAATCGTTTGAATCAAAAGACCAAAATTTTAAGTGTTTGGTGGCTAGGGCTTCAAGGTTGTTCCTTTAGATGCAATGATGAATCTCTATCTTCACTGAATCGTGGGAATTTCTAGAAATGGTGGATGCATTTGAAAAAATGAATACATATTAGGACGAATTGTGTTAAGTAATGCTCCAAAAAAATGTTAAATTTACGTCTCTAGATAATCAAAAAGAGATTTTGAACATTATGGCCAATAGAGTACGATAGAGAATCCATGAGGAAGTTTGGAAAGAAAAGTTTAATATTCTTGTTGATGAAGTATGAGATGAATCTTCATGTGAACAAATGGCCAATATCTTGAGGTTTGAGAGTGGTAATGAAATTTTGACAGAAACTTTTTTTTTTTTTTTGCAATAAAAAATGTTAGTTACACTACATCATTGAATCTTAAGAACCGATTTTTCTGATGTTCTTGTTTGTTTTGGGCTTCAATTGCCAAATATGAGAGATCAAGTGTATAATGGTGCTAATAATATGCGTGATGCTTGGTATGAAATATAAGCATTATTTTTTAGAGATTATTCATATGCATATTATGTCCATTGTTTTACCTATCATTTACAACTTACATTAGTTTTAGCAGTTAAAGATGTCATGGTTATTAATTCATTCTTGTTCCATTTGGACGGTGTTATTAATATGATTACATCATCTTAATTGAAAAGTGCCCAAAGAAATAAATTGAACATTTGTTAAAAATTGGAGAACAAGAGTCTAGAAGTGGTGATAATCAGATTGTGAATTTGCAACGAGCTGAATGTACTCGTTGATCTTCTCATTACCACTTTGTAAAGAGTTTAATTGATATGTATGCTACAACTTGCTAGGTGCTTAAATATCTTAGTGATCATTCTCCAAATACAAGATCTCGATTCGAAATGGGTGGTGTATACAAAAACATAACATTCGAATGGGTAAAGTGGACTCCGCTGCCAAGCTACAAATGAGTGAAATACATACATAAGCAACCAACTTTGTAATCCTTGTTCCCATCCAATACAGGGGCAGGGTGTTCAAGTTCGAAATAAACAAGAGTAACTTATTCCATCAACTGCATGGGCTATCCGAAAAGCATCAAAAACCTGTTCTACCTTGATCTGACAAATGTGGATAGTAGTACGCAAACGCATGGCCTATAATACAAATTTAACTTCCGTAAGTGCATGAATAAAAAATCGAAATGAATTATAAATACACGATCAATGTTAACTTACCTTGCGAATTGTACAAGTCATTTGTTGACGACAAATTCATCATATTGGAAGATTGTAAGCATTGCACATATGACAATGACGTCAGCATGCCACGTTCTGGTAATGGAAAGGGCGTCGAAAGTGAAATTTGTGATAATGTGACTTGTGGAGACGGGGAATATTGGTTTTCTACAGAAATTGGCTGCCCTTCAGGTACACCCACACATGTACTACTATGCTTTCATGTCAGCCTCTTTCGCTTGATTGGAGTCAAATTTAACTATATGTACATCATAATAAATGAGACTTTGTGTATACAAATAATTTACAAATTTCTACAAAACTTTCAATAAACCTGTACCTTCTTTGAAGAAGAGTCTAAAGGTCCTTTTCGTCGAAGTTTTTTTGTGCTCCTTTTCTTCGGCACAGTGTCGGATCCAATATGTTCTAGTTCGTATTATTTTGGGAATTAGTATGTATAGTGGCTAACTCATTGTTTCAATGCGAAATAGTATTATTTCCACAAATTGACTTCGTCATCACTAGCTCCTTGGATTGCAGTCCAATCCATTCTATTATGACACAGGTCTAAACTTTGCCATCTGCAGCAAGATTTGCCAGCGTAGCAAAAGCTTGGCACGTACTGTCATATCTCAATTATCTAGGCGAACTAACCAACCCGTCATAATTGACCGTGACCCTTGAATATGCTCTACTAACCTCTCTTCTCCATCGTCGCAAAATGCACTACTCGTGAAGTGATGTTATGTCATTATGAATCAACACGGTGAGGGCATGCCTGCATATTATTCCTCTAAACTCGAACAAGTGGCAGTTGGAACTAATTTCACAGTCCTCAGGTTGAAACGTAACTTCGAACGATTTCTTCTTTCGACGTTGTTCATGTATGACATCTTCCCATATATTGTATGTCATCCCAAGAAGTCCTTCTGAGGAAGATACGATATCGCAGTAAACTTTCCCTGTGAACTCAACTTGAACTTCTCAAAATTTTGAAATGGTGTATACTGACTGAAACTGCTTCTCCATATAATAAGTTGTCGCATACGGTACCATTTGTGAAAACAATTTAAAATCAACATGGAACTCTTTCTCAATCTTATTCCGTTATACCCGTTCATACTGTTCAACAAACTGTACCAAAGAAGTCTTTGAATGAAAGTATCTATCAAAAAAATGCATTCATGCTCTCACTTCTTTGCATCGTCGACATCCCTGCCCAGAAAGTAGTTTTCAAAAAGCAAGAGATCCAACGACCTCTATTATCGTAAAGGCCTAACAACCAAGTATTATCATGCAACCCATATGACTTGATCATCGTTATCCAACCTCCTTCAAATTCAATTATAGTTTGGGAATCATAAAACCAATGCACGAATAGTCGAAAGTATTGAACCCTTACCCATGTGGTAGCCGAGCTTCTCAGACAACTTCTTCAGGTTTGAGAGCGGTAATGAAAATTTTACAAAACGTTTTTTTTTTTTTTTTTTGCAATAAAAAATGTTAGTTACACTACATCATTGAATCTTAAGAACCGATTTTTCTGATGTTCTTGTTTGTTTTGGGCTTCAATTGCCAAATATGAGAGATCAAGTGTATAATGGTGCTAATAATATGCGTGATGCTTGGTATGAAATATAAGCATTATTTTTTAGAGATTATTCATATGCATATTATGTCCATTGTTTTACCTATCATTTACAACTTACATTAGTTTTAGCAGTTAAAGATGTCATGGTTATTAATTCATTCTTGTTCCATTTGGACGGTGTTATTAATATGATTACATCATCTTAATTGAAAAGTGCCCAAAGAAATAAATTGAACATTTGTTAAAAATTGAAGAACAAGAGTCTAGAAGTGGTGATAATCAGATTGTGAATTTGCAACGAGCTGAATGTACTCGTTGGTCTTCTCATTACCACTTTGTAAAGAGTTTAATTGATATGTATGCTACAACTTGCTAGGTGCTTAAATATCTTAGTGATCATTCTCCAAATACAAGATCTCGATTCGAAATGGGTGGTGTATACAAAAACATAACATTCGAATGGGTAAAGTGGACTCCGCTGCCAAGCTACAAATGAGTGAAATACATACATAAGCAACCAACTTTGTAATCCTTGCTCCCATCCAATACAGGGGCAGGGTGTTCAAGTTCGAAATAAACAAGAGTAACTTATTCCATCAACTGCATGGGCTATCCGAAAAGCATCAAAAACCTGTTCTACCTTGATCTGACAAATGTGGATAGTAGTACGCAAACGCATGGCCTATAATACAAATTTAACTTCCGTAAGTGCATGAATAAAAAATCGAAATGAATTATAAATACACGATCAATGTTAACTTACCTTGCGAATTGTACAAGTCATTTGTTGACGACAAATTCATCATATTGGAAGATTGTAAGCATTGCACATATGACAATGACGTCAGCATGCCACGTTCTGGTAATGGAAAGGGCGTCGAAAGTGAAATTTGTGATAATGTGACTTGTGGAGACGGGGAATATTGGTTTTCTACAGAAATTGGCTGCCCTTCAGGTACACCCACACATGTACTACTATGCTTTCATGTCAGCCTCTTTCGCTTGATTGAAGTCAAATTTAACTATATGTACATCATAATAAATGAGACTTTGTGTATACAAATAATTTACAAATTTCTACAAAACTTTCAATAAACCTGTACCTTCTTTGAAGAAGAGTCTAAAGGTCCTTTTCGTCGAAGTTTTTTTGTGCTCCTTTTCTTCGGCACAGTGTCGGATCCAATATGTTCTAGTTCGTATTATTTTGGGAATTAGTATGTATAGTGGCTAACTCATTGTTTCAATGCGAAATAGTATTATTTCCACAAATTGACTTCGTCATCACTAGCTCCTTGGATTGCAGTCCAATCCATTCTATTATGACACAGGTCTAAACTTTGCCATCTGCAGCAAGATTTGCCAGCGTAGCAAAAGCTTGGCACGTACTGTCATATCTCAATTATCTAGGCGAACTAACCAACCCGTCATAATTGACCGTGACCCTTGAATATGCTCTACTAACCTCTCTTCTCCATCGTCGCAAAATGCACTACTCGTGAAGTGATGTTATGTCATTATGAATCAACACGGTGAGGGCATGCCTGCATATTATTCCTCTAAACTCGAACAAGTGGCAGTTGGAACTAATTTCACAGTCCTTAGGTTGAAACGTAACTTCGAACGATTTCTTCTTTCGACGTTGTTCATGTATGACATCTTCCCATATATTGTATGTCATCCCAAGAAGTCCTTCTGAGGAAGATACGATATCGCAGTAAACTTTCCTTGTGAACTCAACTTGAACTTCTCAAAATTTTGAAATGGTGTATACTGACTGAAACTGCTTCTCCATATAATAAGTTGTCGCATACGGTACCATTTGTGAAAACAATTTAAAATCAACCTGGAACTCTTTCTCAATCTTATTCCGTTATACCCGTTCATACTGTTCAACAAACTGTACCAAAGAAGTCTTTGAATGAAAGTATCTATCAAAAAAATGAATTCATGCTCTCACTTATTTGCATCGTCGACATCCTTACCTAGAAAGTAGTTTTTAAAAAGCAGGGGATCCAATGACCTCTATTATCGTAAAGGCCTAACAACCAAGTATTATCATGCAACCCATATGACTTGATCATCGTTATCCAACCTCCTTCAAATTCAATTATAGTTTAGGAATCATAAAACCAATGCACGAATAGTCGAAAGTATTGAACCCTTACCCATGTGGTAGCCGAGCTTCTCAGACAACTTCTTCAATATATGCCATAAGCACCATCTGTGCCTCATATTTGAAAATATGATCTGAATTGCATTTTGCATTGTCCTCTCCTGATCAGTAATTATTCTATTTGGAACTTGACCGTGCATGCACTTAAGCCATTTTATTAAAAGCCACACGAAAGTGTCTGTGTCCTTGTTTGACACCAAACCACAACCAAGTGTGTCGATTGTCTGTGATGATTTACTCCCACAAAAGGGGCAAATGACATGCCGTACTTATTGGTCAGATAGGTGGTATCAAATGTAACAACATCCCCAAACTCCTTAAATGCCTGCATAGGCCAATTTTCTTTCCAAAATACATTCCTGAGATGTGAGTCGTCATCTAAATCCATGCTAAAGTAAAAACCCGAGCACCTTGACTGCATTGTCGAAAAGTAGTTTTGTATTGTTGCGGCATCACCTACTTCAAGTTGTAGTCGCCTAACTAGTTCAATATAATTACGAGAATTTTTTTCTTCGCAAGTCATGTTCTCATAACCACATGCCTCTACCACTGTCGAGTCGTAGGATCGGTGCAATGGAATGCCTGCTAGATCATTCACTTGAAGCTTCCTTTTGACATGATTACTCATTTTTCGATTACAATGATATAACATAGACATCATCGGACTTGTTCTATGATTGTGCTCTAGACAAACTATGTTAATTCTCCAAGAGCCATGAATATCTGAATATGTAGATATTCTAGTTTTACAATCCGTCTGAATTGTCAGTTGCGGCTTGAAAAAGCCGCTTGTAGTACCACTTCTTTTGCCTTCCCGACTACATTTCAAAGTCAAATATTTCAACATTCCATTGTCATCCTTTTTAGATGTCCATTTCCTAATTGGAAAACCAACGACATAGGCATATGCCTTGTAAAAATCAAACATTTCATTTTCATTCTTGAACGTCATTCCGACCTTGGGCACAATATTACCATCTCCTTTTGCGATTTCATCTTCCAATTGGTTCATATTGTCTTCCACATTCTCGTTGTCTGATTCCACCAAAATATACTTATCCACATCATCCATGATTTCTTCAGCTGTTAAAAATGTAATCATTCAAGTTCAGCAAAACATGAACACCATACAATACACACCGATACAAATCACTACCCCCAATTTGACGAAAAAAACAGAGAAATGTATGGTTTCATATATGGATGCATTGACATTTTGGATAATGCATTACCAATATCATACAAATTCCAAAAATTTGAAGAATGCAGTAAGTAAACCAAAGTGTTAATACCTTGTAATGGGTCAGGTGATTGGTTTACACGTAGCTGGAGCAAGAAGTTAGGTTGGTTGGACGAAGCTCGAAGCTACACCCAAAGAAGCTGGATCCTCGCGTTCAGAAGCTTGAGTGAGCTAGACTAAAGGAAGACAACCAGCTTCACATTTCGATGGAGTATAACTGAAAAATGGAAACAAAGCTCGGAGCCCCACTGAAAGAAGCTGGAAGTCGGACTGAAGAAGATGGACCTTCACGAGGTGTTTGGATTTGGATGACGACTTATAGCCTGTTACAAGTTGGAGCCGCTGAACCGATAAGACGAAGCTACAATTGAAGAAGATGAAGATGATGGCAAGAAGATTATGGCCACCGTTGACAATATCTCCCTGGTTTTCCCAGATTACAACTTCGCTGGACTCGAAGTTGAGGGTTCCACCATTTGGGGGAAGAATATGTTATGAATTTTGGGGCAATTTATTCACGTGGGCCCTCACTTCTTTATTCCTTTCGTGTCCCGCATTTTTTTAAAATTTTTTTTCCTTGCCAGATCACCCAAATTAAAAATGCTATCAAACACGTTGTCAAACTCTACTGTAAAACCAGCTTAATTGTTAATTCTGGGCCGTCCCCGAATCTATTTGTTAAGAGTAAGAACAACGGTAGCAAAGGCAAAGGAACAGAGTGTTGGCATCTTAACTCCAAAATTTCAAAATTTATTGATATCTATATTAAAAATTTTAAGAATTTTTTTTTTCATTTGATTTATAATTTAAAAAATGAAACAAATTAAGATATAAAAAAATTAAGAACAAGCCAAAACATCAAAATTCTCTAGTAAGGCAAAATAAAATCGTTCAAAACTGCGAAATTAATCGGATCCAGGCGGATTTGAACCACCAACCTCTCATAAGCCCCCGAAGCCAATGAGCGCTCTTCCACTTAGAGCTTATGGATCCATCACAATATACCCTCAAATGATGTATTTACGTCAACAATTCTTCGTAATCCCAAAAGTACAGAAACAAGTTATTGTGATATTTCCTCTCACTTGATGACAATCGAAAGATAAGGCAAGGGCATCGGATATGGAGTTAAACACAATACGACGACCAGAGAGCTAACAAATGCTACTTGCAGGCAGTGAAATAAATACTCGTACTGCAATCTCCTTAAACTTGAAAACAAATTAATAAACTTTTAAAAACACCATTGAAATAGTATTTATAAACAATTTTATTTGTAAATTAAAAAAAATATAGCAAAGAATGAGAGGTACTTGGAAATTCTCACCACATGCCAATGTTGACAAACTCTTGTTTTGTGAGATTCAAAATCAAAATTTTAATAGATTTCAATAAAAATTGATAAAATATGCCATTAAAAAATTTCTGACTTCTGTAAAATGCATAATCAAAATTACAATAATTATACTTCAACAAAGTTGAATTACAAAATTGGCTTTACAAAGTGTGTTGGCAGAATGCAAACCACTGATTTGAAATGATTTAAAAATCTATTTTTGAAATGATTGGTGTAAATCCAACTTTGTCATCCAATTTTGTCAAACTCTTTTGTCATTGTAGCATAACTCTCAAAATTAATCAACTTACTGAATTTTAATTATTGCCAAATAGAGTGTGGTTCACTATTGGCTCCCCCAATCGAGTATCTAAAATATTCATACCAAACTATTTTCCTCAAAGAGGAGACGAGACGTGTAACTTTCACAATGGTAGAGGTTGGCTGTTAACCAATAGACCGTAAGTCCTAATCCTACTTCAAGAAATTTGATTCAATCTGAATTAACAAATTCAAAATAAAGAAGCTCACTTTGACCGTTAAGAGTGGGTAACCTACTCCGAGCCTTTTCCTACCATCGCAAAAGGGTACTGCCAAGCATGTGCAAGTCAAATCTTCTTCCACTCCACATAATAAAAAATAATGACCAGGCTCAACAACTGCTTGTGCCCTATTTTTCCCTAAAAATACATTTTGAAAAAGTAGATTGTTGAAAAAAAAGTACTTAAAAATGAAGAAATTTTTTTTAATTTATATATAATATTATTTTATTAAAAAATGTGATTGAAAAGAATAAAAGAAAAAATATATAATTTTAATAATGACGAGGATTAAGCAAGAACTAAATGACATCAGCACTTAAAAAGGTCATAAATTATCGGTCGAAAAAGTTAATTTACAACCATTTTTAACATAGGTGAATTACAACCACGGACGCAAAAAAACCGTTTAAACCCCATACCCACTGAAATCGGGCGGGATTTCGCTCCCAGTGACATGGCTCCCACGCTTTTAACATGACAAAAAGAATATAAAAAATAAAAAATCATCATTCCTTTCAGAAGTAAACATGGATCATTATTAACACATTGAAAAAATAATAATAGTAATAATTTTCTCTAACTAGAGACATGAAAAAATAAAAATAAAAATAAAAAATAAACAAAATGATAAACGAGACAACGAACCTACCCCACCACGCCAAACTGAATATAGGAGTGGGCCACGATAACAAAATACTCGAAGACAAGAATGGCTGCCCTACCCAACCAAACCAATCCCATTGCCATCCCTAAGATCATATTTCAAAAACGAACTGATAAATTAACAAATAAATTTTCTTAACTCAAAATCTTGCAAGAAAATGGCCAATATCGAGAGTTCAAAACTATATAAATGACAATCTTATCACTACAAAGACTGAAAATCGTAATTAATTTATACTTTACCAGTCAGAAATGGCAATTAATCATTGATCAAGATCTCAACTAGACAGACTATTCAAGCTTAAGATCAGGATAAATTACCATCAAATCAACCTGGAATTCAAAGCCGCAACTCAAAATAGAGTCTAGATCAAACCAGAAGCTGGAATGTAGAGGCATTTCTTGCATCCCACACAATAAAGTGCACTGACCTACTACTGAGAAATTACTCTGACGAGCAATCTTACAAAGTTCAGTGTAAATCAAACATGCAGCAAGCATAAAATACTGGCACAATAACAGCATAAACAAGTAAGATAAGGAAACATATTACACAACACACGCAGCAATTTTGGTCATAGTACCACCGTCTTACAGCACAAATTGCAGAAGGCAGAAGCAGCTAATCCTCTAGCAGCAGCATCCGCGTACAGTTGTATGTTGGCAAAAATTGGAACCAGCAAGCCTGATCACTTTCAGAAGCCTTGGCAACCCACAGCGGCAGTAACCAGATAATCATCAAAATCATTCTGGAATTTAAAAAGGTAACTCAAAATAGAATTGCGCCCAAATCAGAGTTGGAAAGAAAGGCATTTCTTGCATCAGAGATAATAGATTGTACAGAAATATTCCCAGGAAAAGACCAAGTAATGAGGAAGCAGCAAACGAGAGGTTGCATACATAGAAGAAGCAACTCTGGGGTCATATCAACATCCTGCAGAACTAATTGTAGAAGACAGAAGCCTCAAATCTTGACAGCAGCAGCAGCAGCAACCAAAATCAGGTAGCCATAGTATTTGGCAAGGACAATAACTGGAAGCAACCAGCCTTACTGATTTCTGAAGACTCGTTAATTATCAGCAACCAGCACTTGTTAATTATCAGCAACCAGTAGCAGCAGTAACCAGGTAACCATCGTGTAGCCTTGGACCTCCCATGACTCTTGCTCAGTCACCAAGTAATATCTATCTATAAGACTAGAACATCTAAAGCTTTCTTTGACTATTTCAGACAAGATGGCCTCCGAGCATTACAAGTTTATCACATTTACAGCATTTGGAGGCCGGATATCACAATAGAATTCACAATACAACAATATAAAATTTATCAAACACTGCTTCACAAGAGAAATTACGAGATGAACAGTAAATTAAGATCACCGTTAAAAGGATAAAAAAGACAGACTGCAATATTTGATTAAGAAATGGTATTAGCATGATCGAAAGTTTCTCCTTAAAAATTTGTATGTAATTGCCCAGCAGAATTGAAAACTCCTTCAAATCATCAAATTTGTTATTTTAGAAATCAGAACACAATTGGTGTAGGAATATTGCAGTTGCTTGTGGGAAGTTCTTCATTATAGTATTGACTACAGTCATGTCATAGTTTGATAGTTTTACATGCTATTAGAAGCTAGCTTGAGATGTGGATTATAAACTAATTTGAGTTAATAAGGCTAATATCTTACGATATATGACAAGATCCAACATAAAACCTCGGATAATCCTCCTGACAAGGTGTCTTCTAATATGACAAAGACTCAATATGGTGTAAGATGTAAGAAACGAAAAACCTCATTAACCCTGCTCTTTGGCCAGGGTCAAAACCACGGCCAAAAACCAACAATGCCACTTTGACCATGGCCAAAAAACAATGATGCCACGTGGAGCCGGCTCCAAAACAGCCACCCCTCCAATAGGCGCCATGTGGTTTTTTGGCATGGGTTTGACCCTGGCCTTGTAGATTTTTTGAAACCTCATACCAACAGTTGGAATAGTTAAAAGGTCAAGATTGGTACCATTAATGAAACCATCTATCGATGCATTATAAAACATTGGAAGTAAAATCCATTATCATAAAAACACAGGACTGCTCTCCTACACACACTTGAATGGA